TAGACATTATGATCTTCTGGACCTTTGCTTCAAGAAATTTTCTCTAACTGGACCTATTTTAATTTTAATTGAATACCCCTGCAATAGAGCTATTTAACTCATTAGAATTTTAAAAATCCCAATATCGCAATATATATCGCAGAAAGAATAAATATTGCAATGTGATTTATTCCCAATATCGTGCAGCCCTAGCGGCAACATAATGAGACGCTTCTTGGAGTGGTAATTAAGCAGAAGAACTTTTAGCAACAGTATGACACTCCATTTTGTAAAAGACATGCCATCTGTAATTATGTTGATTGCAGTTCATTGTGTTTCAATCACATTACGAAAACTTACAAATTCCTAGTCCGACATTGTCGCTTACAGAATGTTAATGGCTGACTGGAATAGACAGGTGCGTGTAATATCCAAACAGCACAGACGTCATTTCCCGAGTACAAAGGCATGGATTCGTATCTGACCGCTGTAATGTCATTGTACTCTTCCATTATGGCAATGACACCTGTCAGTGAAAAAGAAATACTTCATCAAAGTGCTGTACCCTTTTCTAAGGTGACTGTTGTCCCTCTTAAGTTATGTGTGTAATGAAGAAACTGCACAACACCCAATGGTCTGCATAGGGCTACAAATACACACATGTACACATATAAGGGATAATGATTTTAGTATATATTTTTTATACATGTGGCGAAGTGTACCATGTGATTAATGATTACTACTCTAAGCACGGAGTTGCAGTGAAAAGCTGTATGCCTAACGGCCCTTTCTGGATAAAATTAGCTACCCCTGTGCTAATACAATACTTTGCAGTCTGAGAATTATCCCTATTGCTCACTACAGACCGTATTTATGACCAGAGACCCACACAAAAATTACGTTTCAAACTACATTTTCAGACAACTTCACATTATATGTGATCGTAGAGCTAAATTATTCCTTATGAGGTATTAAAGAGTATTAAATTTCTTACTTACACCGTGACTATAACCTTCGTAGACTGTATTTTTCACCCTCACCCTCATTTACCCGGAACTAAGCTTCTAACTATGCAACTTAACGACAGTGTTTGCGAATGTTCGTTTGAACATTTTTGGGAAACACCTGTGTCGTTTAATGATGCATCATACTACGTAAGTTCGCGGTGTCGTTACCTGCGTAGTTCGAACTATGGTTTCGGGAAACACCTTGTCACTACCGAAAATGCTACACCTACCGAAAATGTAAATTCCGCTACTACGCATGCGCAC